GGCGACTGGGATGTTTGGGGCAGGGGGGGGGGGGGCTCTGCGGCTTACCTGGCTGCTTCTTGCTCTACCTGAGGGCTGCTAGGAGCAGGGGGTGGGGCTTGTTGCATGTGCTCGCCCCCTGGACTCTTTACTGCCGGAGCTCCACTCCTGTGCGCTCCTGTAGGAAATGACCCCTGGGGAAATCTCTGATCCAGATGCTTTACACACAAGAGAAGTGTCTATCCGTGTGCATCCATCCGTTCCATGGGTGGATTTGGAATTAAAAAGACACCACAAAAACATTCCGAAATCTCACCACCACCACCACCCCAGGAAGCTTTCCTGGCAAAAGGCTCTCCCCTCTCGATCAGTGATTCCTAACAACAAGGAGCATATGGCTCTCTCCAGGTAGGGCTGGGCCCAAGCATTTTTGGCGCCCAGAGCAAATGGCTTTGCAGTCTCCTCCCACGCTGGGGGGAGAGCTGCCGCCTGCCCTACTTGTCCCCCCCACACACACTGCGGGGGAAGCAGCCACCCCTACCCACCTCCAGGCATCACAGGGAAGCCACCCCTGCTTCCCCTGCCCTCACTGTGGCCGGGGCTCGCCACTGTGCCACACTTCCCAATGGGTGTATCGTAAGGTTTCCAACTCCTGCTTGGGAAATACCTGAAGATTTGGGGGGTGGAGCCTAAGAAGGGCAGGGTTTGGGGAGGGGAGGGACCTCAGCAGGGTATAATGCCATAGAGCCCGTCCTCCAACGCAGCCATTTTCTCCGGGGGAAGTCTGTCGCCTGGAGATCAGTTGTAATCCCAGGAGATCTCCAGCCCCCACCTGGAGGCTGGGACACCTATTGTACCAGGAGACAGAAAGGAAGCTGGGAAAGGGCCACTCCCATGGCTCTGACCCCAGAGGGAGGGAGGGAAGCAGCAGGCCCACTAGAGCCACAGACACTGCCCCAGGTCTGCTGTGATCCTGTGGGAGGGCAGGGCTGGTTTGCGTGCCCCTCCACCTCTGGCACCCTAGGCGATCGCCTAAGTGAGCCTAATGGATGTGCTGGTCCTGACTCCAGGGGACAATCTACCAATGTTGGGAGGCATCCCCAACTTATAAGGGCAAATGGGGAGGGGCATTTTGGGATTTCAGACAGATTCTCCTCCCCATTTGCAATGGCTTCGGGCAGCAAGCGGTGGAGAACTGTTTTGTGCTGCTCACCACAACGTGTGGATAAAGATCCCAGCTATCTTCTTCAGGAAGTGGCACACAACAAATAGGAATCAAACTTCATGTTAAAGAGTTGGCTGACAGCCACCAGGCACAGGGGCCTCATGGAAGGTATGGCTGTGATCCATTTATTCTACGCATATATCATGGAGACATCTATATAAACAGAACTGTATAGTCTGGAGTGCCGTTTGGGTGTCCAGATTTTTAACTTTGTGGCTTCAGGAGCATTTGATGGTGCTGTGTACTTGCTGAGCAGTAGTGGTTCACAGGTTCAGAATCACTAGTCTAATCCTTTTAAAAAGCCATCTAAGTCAATGGTCATGGTTCGGAAAGCGTGAAAGCACTCTGTGCATGCTCTAAGGGATCCTTTCCTAATTTTGCTTCACACATTCACAAAATCCTGAGGCCGAGCCAGGGTTGCCAGCTACCACGTGGGGCCTGGAGATTTACCAGAATTACAACTGATTTCTAGAATAGTAAAAAGCCCAGCAGCACCTTTAAGACTAGCAAACTTTATTGTGGCATAAGCCTTCAAGAAACATAGTTCTCTTCGTCATATGCATCTCTAGACAACAGATGGCAGTTCCCCTGGAGGAAGCGGCAGCTTCAGTGGGTGGACTCTATGGCATCACGTCGCTGCCCAAATTCTGCCTTCCCTCCCCAAATTATGCCCTCTCTAGGCTCCACCCCCAAATCCCAAGAATTTCCCAAGCCAGAACTGTAAACCCTACCCAAACTGCATATAAAGGTTCCCTTTCTCGAAAGCCAGTCGAATCCGACTCTAGGGTTGCGGTGCTCATCTCCGTTTCAAAGCCGAAGAGCCAGCGCTGTCCGAAGACGTTTCCGTGGTCATGTGTCCGGCATGACTAAACACCAAGGCGCACGGAACGCTGTTACCTTCCCACCGAAGTGGCCCCTATTTATCTACTTGCAATTTCTTGCTTTCGAACTGCTAGGTTGGCAGGAGCTGGAACTAGAGACGGGAGCTCACTCCGTCATGCAGCAACCCGGGTCTCGAACTGCTGAACTACCGACCTTCCACAGCCTGCAGTTCAGCGTCTTAACCACTTGAGCCACCGCAGCTCCAAACTGCATATAACCCTCCATATAACCCCACCTGCATTCCTTTATTCTATAGGTCTGGAAATAGGTTTAGACCTTGGTTTTCCGCAACTGGAAGCTTTCTGTTCATCAGCTCTCTTTCTTCCTCTTTTAAAGGCCACTTCCGCACTGTCATTTTTGTCATTCGTTTGTCCCTGTCGCTGCAGGGGTTTCCCCCACCCAATGTGTTTTGCTCTCTCTAGTAGCCCTAAAAGGGGGGGGGGGACCAAAGCAATAGGGACAAGTGAGTGACAAAAGTGAGAGTGTGGACAAGTAATCTCCTTAAGCAGCAGCCAACGCTTGAAGAATCCTCCCAACGATGCACTGTGGTTAAAAATGCCCTCTCCCAGGGAAAACAATTTTTTTCGTCGCCCCCATGCAAAAAAGATTCCTCCATTCTGGGCAAAGGTCACCAGTGGATCTACTTTCACGGTGCATTGTCTGGAAATGCAAGGAATCAGCGCAAAGTTCCCCAAAACAAGACCCGCTTTCATTCAGAGATCCCCCAGCAGGCAGGGCAAGGCATCAGCTGCCTTCATCTCTACTGAAAATGACATCTGTCCTTTTGCAAAACTGGAGGCACAAAGGGCACGTGCTTTTAGCCTCTCAGGCCCTTACTTGGGTCATCTGGACTGAGCCAGGGACGAGGCAAAAGGCCTCCAGTCTTGCAGAGACCTTTAGCTGCTTCATGGAACTCGCTTTGGGATGCAAAACCAGGCTTGTGTTCCTCCTACGTGGAAAAGGGGAAATGCAATCGTTTTGAAATTGGTCTCTCAACTCTCTCCTTCCTCTTCAGGGACCAAGAAGGAAAGGGGCATGGGGCAGTGGTTAGACTGTGACTGAGAAACCATGTGGTGTTTAAACCCTCATTCAGCCATGAAACTGATTGGGGCGGACTGTGAGGCAGTTGCTGTCTTTCTGCCTCCCTCCCTCGCAGGGCTGTTGTAAGGGAGAACATAGGATGACCCAATTCACATACACTTAACCCTTTAGAGGAATTAATGTAACGGCGACGCCCTAACCCAGTGCTTCCAGAAACAACCAACAGCCAAAGGGGCTGAATGTGTAATCCATGAGCAGAGGAGCTGAAAGCTTAGCACGCCTATGGGGAAAATCAGAGCAGCCTATTTTGCAGGCCTGGAGATCACAATGATTGAAATGAAGCAGGCAAAAGTCCTGTAAAAAGAGATTTTCAAATGAGTCAACAGCCCTTGCTCGCGTGCCCCCAAGAAGAGAAGTTTACTTGCCTGCCTACCAAAATAAACCACCTTGTAAAATCAAATCTTCCCTACCTCGTTCACCTGGAATTAATTATTGTTCGCTGTAGGTGAGCCACAATTTACAAGTCTATTAAAACACTGGGAACGTGTACTGTGAAAGCCGAGTATGATTCACTGCAGCATGTTCCTCTCGTCTGCTTACATGGAAAGGAGACGCAACCCACACGCCCCACATACACACCCCCTTTAACCACGAGCTCTTTTTCTGCTGGACTGGACAGCCCAACAGGGACGGTGCTGACAGACCGGGTTTAATTTTTTTTCAGACAGCACTGCTGCTCAAATACAGCATGGGGAAAATTAAAATGGTTGCTTCTACATGCCTGCCTACAAGGAGACTTACTGCATCTCTTCCTGCAGCCACAGGTTTGCTGTACTGGCAAGGACGAATTTGCAGTAAACGGAAAAAAATATATGTAGCTGAAACTGGGCAGGGAGGGAGCGAATCTCAGTAACGCTGTGTTTAAAAATGGCTTTATCAGGCAATCGTTGGCGTGGCTGGCAAAAGGAGAGCAGATTAAGAGGAGTGAATGGGAATGAGGAATGGCAGAAGACCCCTGCTGGATCAGACCACCCAGCGTGTGTACGGGTGGGGGGCGGCCATCTAGTCCGGCATTTCACGGCTCTAGCCAGATTCCTCCGGGAAGCCCACAAGCAGATTATGGAGGCAACTCCCTTGTCCCTTCCATCTGGCACTCAGAGGTAGACTGCCTCTGGGCATGCAGGTTCCACTTAGCCTTCTGGCTAGTAGCTGTCATCAGACCTCCCTGCCAGGAATCTGTCAAAAAAGAGATGTAGCCATCATCCCCACCTTTGGTTTTTGCCAGGCATTCCCAAGAGCCCGCCAGGCAGCCACACCTGGCTGTTCCTAGGGCTGACAAGAACTGGTTTTACAGGAGACCCAATATCCATCTTTGCAGGAATGAAAAAAATTGCGGGAATGCAAATCTGCATGCCGGGGGGGGGGAGCCACAAGCCGAGGCTTGCGCCCCGGTGCCCCTAGCCACGGGTTTTGCTGGCAAACCCCTGAGGGTGCTATTCTAGCCGCGGCAGCCCCCTGCAGAGCTCCTCCACTCCAAGCCCCTTGGGCTCAATGGGCTTACTCGGGAGTAAGCGCCGCATAGGACTGCTGCTGCTGCACTGACAGCCCAGCGAGGTCTTCGTTTCCAGGGAGACCACTCCGATGCCACAGCCATGCCCCCCCCGACTCTGGCATGCAGGAAGGGAGCGAGAGAGAGAGAGAGAGTGCCGCTGAGCATGGAGGCTTGGGCCGGCTGCTTCCTCCTCCTCCTCCTGCCCACGGCAGCCACCCGCGGGGACGTTACCTGTCCTGCGCCGTCCGCCTGGCCGTGGCCGGACCTTTCCTCCGCGCACGGTGCCCTGGCGCCCTCCGGGGCCGGTGGCGAGGGCTCGGGCGGGCAGCTCCTGCGTTTCTCCAGAGAGGGCATCATCGCGGCGTCCTGCCTCCTCGCGGTGCCTGGCGGGCGGCGGCGGCGGCGCTGGGGCTCGGGGGGTCTCCTCCGGCGGGACTCTGCAGCAGCAGCAGGAGCAGGAGGAGCCGCAGCCCCGCAGG